GTCCTGGATGACTAACCTACAGGTCCTGGATGACTAACCTACAGGTCCTGGATGACCAACCTGCAGGTCCTGGATGATTAACCAACAGGTCCTGGATGACTAAGCTACACATCCTGGATACCTACCGTACAGGTCCTGGATGACTAAGCTACACATCCTGGATAACTACCGTACAGGTCCTGGATGACTAACCTACAGGTCCTGGATGACTAACCTGCAGGTCCTGGATGACTAACCTGCAGGTCCTGGTTGACTAACCTGCAGGTCCTGGCNATGACTAACCTACAGGTCCTGGATGACTAACCTACAGGTCCTGGATGACTAACCTGCAGGTCCTGGTTGTGGTTCTCACACAGGAGCTGCAGGAACCTCAGGATGGGCTTCATGATGGTCACGGCCGGTCCCATCTCCGTCTCCACCTCTTGCTGCTCGGCCGCAGGCTGAACTGGCAAAGCGGAGGCACAGGCCCCCGGGGTGAWGGACTGACCCTGGACCAGCAGGGGGTGACCTCCTGACCCAGGAAGCACCAGGGTTGTAGAACCTGTTCCACACACAGACAGTTATGAAGCTGAAGGTCTGGTTTGAATCGTGTCCGGATCAGAAGCAGAGACACCTGGAGCTCACCGTGCTCCAGCTCCTTCTCGTTAGCTTTGTGCGTCATCTCGTTGACGTTAACAGAAACCGTGGCTTTGATGTCCGTCTGAGCTTCCTTCATCCTGTCGTCAAAGACTTTGAAGAACTTCTCAGACTTGTTGTCGCCCATCATCAGTTTGTAGAAGGAGTTCTGCAGACAGACGGGAGGTCTTTCAGGTACCAGTCTACAAACCCCTGTGGTTGGTCCAAACTGGCTCAGGTCGGTTACCTGGATCTCAGTGTTCCCTCCTTCCAGCAGACAGATGGCCAGCTGGATGCTCTCCTGGAAGATCTTGTCGTTCTTGGTGCTCATCACCAGATCTGTGAACAGCTTCGTRCCTCCTTCTCGATCCAGACGACACTGAATGGCCGCCACCGCCGCCCAGTCTCGTTCCTGCTCGCCACCTGACACACGAAACGTTTTACTGATGAATTCGACATCATCCAGGCTCAGTTCTGGTTTACTGGGAAAACAGGGGATGTGCTTCTGTGTATGCTGAGGGCTTTTATTGTGAAGAAACAACAGGAAGTGTTAGAGAGGGTCAGGTGGGCGGAGTCAGTACGAAGGTTTACCTGCAGCTCCCAGTTCAGCCAGGTCGTTCTTCTGGTTGGCCTTCTTGTTTGGAAACAAATAATTCTGCAGTAAAACTTTACGAAGAGAAATCCCCTAAAAAACAAAAAGATAAAAAAGTGTTACAATTTATTAAAAAAATAAACCAAAGTCATGTTTACCATTTAAATATACTTTAAATAAAGTAGCATGAAAAAGTAAATATTGCTTGCTGCCATGATTGTGTATGGCCTGATTGTCTGTTAGCAAAATATCTAATGAACCAGTGGGTGGAATGATTGCTGAACATCCACACTTCAAGATGGCCGCCACAGCCGATGGACCTCAGCAAACACAAGAAGGTCTGAGTTTTACAGATACTGAGCTAAAGTCTGGTGTGGTAGTAGCTGAGAGTTGTCCTCTGAGAGCCAGCTGACCACAGATTAGTGGCAGGTCCATCGTGACCTCACCGACCTTGTCGTCAAAGTCCAGAGTCCTTATGAGCATCTCCTGCAGGGTCCTGAGGACTTTGATGCACAGCTTCTCCTCAGAGGACATCAGAGCCTTGGTGTGCTGGATCAGCCTGCAGAGACACACACACACACACACACACACACACACACACACACACACACACACACACACACACACACA